TGGTTGGATGGATGGTTTGTTTGCCAGCATTGTGTGGGTCCAAAAAGCATCTGAATAAACAAAACATAAAAAGTCATTACTTTAAATATCTTAAAGCAGAAGGAGCATTATTAGTGGCGGAGCTGCCATTCTTCATACCTTTTGTTCAGTAACAAAAGGAGTTTGGTGAAAAAAACACATTCTCCTAACATGACATGATTGACAATTGACTTCATATTGACAGCGAATGACAACATCAATGCCGGTATCATCAATTGTGTACAATATGGGAGTAAACATCGTATTTCAAACAGCCGTATTGTAAAATATTAATTCGTAAAGTGAGATTTTCACGGCAGTCATGCATTTTAGTAACACTGTTCAAAAATAGTTGATACTTTTGATTCATTTTCAGTCTGTTTGACTCTTGTTTTACATTCACAGATTCTATAGTAAGGAAGTTTCTGACTTCCGATGCTTTGACAGTCTAAATCTTGATGCCAGTGCTCTTTTAATCAGAATGCACTAACGGTCCTCCTCCATCATTTTCTGTCGAGAAGTAGTGGCTGTTTGTGAAAAAAATCAACCAAAAGGCTATGATGCACTATTTCAGCTGGGTTGTACATAAGCTCGAAGTCCAATGTCCAGGCAAGATTCACGCTTAGGTTGATTTAAATGTCGAGTTCAAAAGCAAATATACAGTAGTTCATCCCCTGACACTGACACACCTACAACCTTTATCATTTTAACTAACCAGTGCTTGGTCCGGTGCTTAGTGTCCCCCACTGTCAACGACAATAAAAACTAAAAGAACCTCCTCCGGCTTGCACTTCTCAATGCCAATCCCTCTGTATCATATCTTTGTTGAAGTCAAAAACAAGATTGGATTGGAAATGTATGTGTGCAAGAAAGGAGAAAAAGAGAAGAGGGAGAGGCAGAAAGAGGAAAAGACGGAGGGTGGATTCAATTTGCTATCTGGGTTACAAGTCCAAGACATCTGTCGGGTTGTTTGATTGGTGGGAGACCATCTATCGCGTTGGCTTGTCGGCAGATAGTAAATTTATATTCCCCCCCCCCCCCGAAGTCCCATCCTCCATCAGCGGAGACGGACTGCCAGACACCATGGTCACATCTTAATTTAAAGCTAGACACGGTCAGAATCTCAGTAACTTTTGTTAACCTTTGTCCGAACACCTTTTTACATAAAGAATTGTTCTTTTTTTATTTTTTTTAGTTTAGGTAAAGGTTGAATCACCTCTTGCCATCTATATGAGAAAACATGTGAGTGGGGGAGGGGGAGAATCAATGCAGCATGGTGTGTTTCCCAGCAAGGTACGGTAGTTATTCACATATTCAAGTTGAGTAATAAATCATAGAAATGTGAGAATTTGCATAAAAGTAAGAATAATTTTAAGGTGCCTTCTCTTATATCATTCTAATGGAAGATGGTACACTAGAGGAGCCTCTTTTTTATCTTTAAATGTATAATTGTTCAGATGATTAACCATTGTTCATTAAACTGTAGCAGTTACAGAGGCATAATCAAAAACTGGAAAATCCACCCAGACTTGATTTACAAATGTTTGAGGGTTAAATTGCTTCACACGAGTGATATGAAGGCAAATTGTTCCATCTGCAACATGTCTAAGACCCTTGGTTGGCAAAACCATCTCCCTGTGGCCTAAACATGACGAATAGTGCTGGTCTGTAGAGTGCAGCTGAAAGCAATCATTATAATTTATTATCCTCTATGTTGCTGCATTGCTTGATTTTTATTACACTGGTCAGCTGATAAAATTAGCAGTTTGACAATAATGGGGACAACATCAAAGGAATTTAGAAATCCATCCACAACCACGTTGGTATGAACACCCACCTGCACACACACACACACAGAGACACACTTGCCCTCTCACTCTATCTCTGCTAATAATCGGATTAAGCCGCTGTGTTTTGGGTGGATCGACGCCATCTCTATTAGCACCAATTTAGCATGACCTATCCGCTCCAGCAACCTCAGCGCTGGCTTGGTAGTCTGCGATGGCTGTGCCCCATCCTGGCCACTTATCATCACACTGGGATTAATAGAAACATCCTTCGTAATTACAGAAATGCTGCGTTGCCGTGCCGGTCGCTGTCAATTATTTTAATGTGTGCCAAGCCATTAATCGGCTAACAGAGCCCTCAGTGGTGCCCTACAGTAAAACACAGAAGTCTGCCATTGATTTTCACGAGGCCGCACTCAGCATTTTATCTCGTTTCTCTTCGGACCGCCGAGGTTATTGATCTTCATAAAGGCAGTATTCTGTCGTTAGGCGAGAAGCGGAGGAGACAGTAATGAAGGGTTTTTAACCTGTGTGTTCGGGGGAGCGCTGGACGACTGGCCCAGGATGCCGGGTGCTACACGCAGCAGATTTCCTGCTGCCCGGCCACAGGGATCGATAGGGATACGTCTTTGTCCGATTACAGAGATTTGCTGTGAGGATGGACGCTTGTGTGTGTGTGTGTGTGTTTTACAGTAATAGCTGATCACTAGATCTGCCTGATGTAAAGGAACAAAAAGCTTAACCTCAGACGTGACACAACTGCTCACATCAAGACACCCTGTGCTTACTTTTACTCTTCAAGCCGAAAGGTATACAGGCTGCAGCTGGACTTCTTGTGGCAGAACCTTTGGCGTATTATAGGTTGACGGTGGCATCAATGCATCTCCTACCTATAAGCTGCGCTGGAAAGAAACTAAGTACATTTGTATTTTTAGATTCTGTCATCTTCTGCTCCTTTATAATTGAAGTGCATTTATCTGACAGCTACAGTTACTCTGTGCAACATTAAATATGATAAAGTGTGTAAGATGAACTTACCCATCAGTATATAAAGTAGTTCAAATGAGCTTAACCTGAACTTGCCACAACATTAAAATGCTGCTTATGCATTTAAGCCTCAGGAATAATAATCCAGTAATATTTCTATAAACAATATACCAATGACAGGCATCACTCTGCTGTTTTAAAGTGTTTTTACTGTTGGTGTGTGATTGGGTCAGTTGAATCCGTAACCACTCCCAACAGTGATGTCACAAGGTCCTGGTGAACAGTTAAACCACTGGAGTATTTCTACTTTGAAGTACTCCTACTTTTACTGAAGTAAAGGATCCGAATACTCCACTGTTTATAAGTAAGAACGAAGCAAACTCACAGTAGAGAAGTCTGCCCGTATGAGTGTCAGGAGATAACTGCTTAGTATAAAAATGGAATATTATGTAACTGAAAACTTGATTTCAAGGCAGAGATTTAATTAAAATATAGGAGTCTCTAACAGCATTTAATAGGATTTAGGAATACAAGGACACCCTTAGAAAGGGGAAGTGCTAATCACAAGAATGTGTGTGAGCAAGAGTACGTCTTGTTCAGTCAGTATGACGCAGTACAAACACAGAAAAATTAACAACAATTCACAGGGGCAATTAAAAGAACATGCTCTCTCCTCCGGTCTACCCCTGTGCTCCGAGCAGAGCACTCCACCGCCATTGAGTAACAGTTTTAGGTCTCCCTCGATGAATGCGTATTTACGACAAGCCACGGCACCACAGTCAGCCCTCCTGCATGCCAAGTGAGTTTCTTAGACACCGCGCACTCCCCCTCAGCAGGCATAACTGTCGCATATGAGTTATCACACATCTGTCTTTGCACCAGATGCTGCAGTTAATGGCACACCTAACCTCACACCGTGAGATGGTACACTAAAACCTGGGTGGAATTTTCCACTGCCCGTCTGCCGTCGTCCTCTTCAGTCCCCTCCCAGCCACCGCTGTCCAGTGCTGGGAGAAGCCCGTAGGGGGTGGTCCAGACAGGATATTAATGGGGCCCTCCAACAGTCACAAGACGTGACAGGGCCCTGTTTCATTGTCACCTTGCCTTGGAAGACAAGGAAAAACTTGCAAAGCGCTATTAGCCGAATGGAGCTGTTTCTCTCTCTCGATCTTACATCCTGCTCCTCTCTCGGTTTCCTCGCTACATTGCCACACTCACCTCCACACACACGCACACACATGGGCTCACGCACAGGGTGACATCTCCCACCTAATCAAGTAGTGGATTATATTGTCCTGATAAATTGGAGCTTGTAGCACTTGAAAGGTCCTCTTGGAGGAGTGCCTCCTCCCCCCGACAGCTAGATGGAGCCCCGAGGGAGCAAGGAGAGAACATCGGCTGGTAATGATTTGTGGTAAATCGGACAAATGTTTTTAGAAAGACCTCTTTCAAGCGCGAGACGTGATGAGTTTCAAGCTTGCGAAGAAACTCTGAAAAAAAACATAAGTCAAATTTGGATGCGAGGGATAAATATAAGACGTCTGTTTTGCCTCGATGAATGAAGTTATTGCTGAAATGATTAAATGGTCCAAAAGGTTTAGGTGAAGTCAGGTGCACAACCTGTGGAGAGTGAATGTGCTCACCGATAACGAGTCAAGTTGAGGGGGTGGGGCTACAAGGGATACTTGAAGATACATGAAGAGTCAATGAACTATGCTATTCATTTGATCAAATCACACAAAATTAATTTGTGTTCCTCTGTGCCACTTGATACATACAGCACCCTACTCCTGTGATTTCAACATGTTCGAAGAACACATGTCTTAATTGCAGTTCTGGGAGGGATGTGACATTTGTAGTAACGTGATGTAACAATGCAACAGAGAGGAAGCAAACGCTGTAGTGACGGGTGTTAACAGAGGTGCTGCGTACTCTTTAAAGATGGATGTGCAACCATGAAGCTACGTGGCTTCGAATATTAATATACGACAGCACACTGCGCTCCAGCAGAGCATGTGTATGCACACGGTGCCCTCAGTATGATTTAGCTTCAGACTTCACAAATCCCTAAATGACTCTCCTAATGACATGGTGGTATATGAGATACGCAACGCCATTCTTACCTCTTCATAATAAACCTCATTTGTTATTTCTCCCCAAGACTAACAACCTTTCAATACTTTGTATTGTATCTCTCTCTCTGTGTAGGAGAACCCCTACATGTGCAATAATGAATGTGACGCCACCACCGAGGAACTCGCCCACCCTCCAGAGCTCATGTTTGACATCGAGGGCCGCAACCCCACAACCTTCTGGCAGTCCACGTCTTGGAAGAAGTACCCGAAGGCCCTCCTGGTCAACATCACGCTTTCTTGGAACAAGACCATCGAGCTGACCGACGACATCGTCCTCACCTTTGAGTCAGGCCGGCCCGAGCAGATGGTGCTAGAAAAGTCGCTGGATTATGGACGGACCTGGCAGCCCTACCAGTTCTATGCCACTGACTGCCTGGACGCCTTCACCATGGAGCCCAAGACTGTGCAGGACCTGACTCAGCATACCCTGCTGGACATCATCTGCACCGAGGACTACTCGCGAGGTTATGTGTGGAAGTACGATAAAACGGTGCGCTTTGAGATCAAGGACCGCTTTGCGCTGTTTGCTGGGCCCCGGCTCCACAACATGGCTTCGCTTTATGGCCAGCTAGACACTACCAAGAACCTGCGGGACTTCTTTACCATCACAGACCTGAGGATCCGTCTGCTCCGGCCCGCTACAGGAGCTACGATGGTGGACGAGAACAACCTGTCCAGATACTTCTATGCTGTTTCTGACATCAAAGTCCAGGGCAGGTAAGACCTGAATTGTTTTTGTAATCATGGCATGTAGGCGGGAAATTCCAAATTTGTAAGGGAATTTGCTCCAATCGGCTAAAGTGGGACAAATAGGGGTTCAACACAACATTTTAGCTCTGGGGTGTCCTGTCGGGTTAATCCTGCTAGGACTTCCTCAGTGGTTGTCTGTTGTTTTATTGCAGTAACAGCACAGCTACCCAATAGTGAAGAATAATGCGTTTACCGTTGCCATTCTTTCCAATTCGGCAGCGGATCCATAATGATGTGCGGAGTTCACCAGTTGTCAGCGCATCTTAATTTACCAAGCTGCTTACGGCTTGCTGAAACACTCTATTTTGAACGGCGAATTCACTCAGCTGTCTATTAGCCCGTGGAAGACATTGGAGGTAGCATTTCAGCCGTCAGGTTACTGCACGCTGTAATTAGTGTTTGATTTACGGAAGCCACAGAGGGTCATATAACAGGAAAGCAATGCGCCATTATACTGTTGGAGGAAAGGTCGACAAAAGCCTCCCCCGTTCCGTGACGCTGCTACAAGAGTCACTGGGGCATAGACTTAAGTGGGTCTGTTTTACACTGTGTGGTTTTTCAATTTAACAGATGTGAATATGGCTGTAGGGGTGAAGGAATGAAGATTTAATTACTCTTGTTTTGTTTTTCACACATGAGAGGCTCACAGTGGAGAGGAGCAGAGCAGCGGAACATCACAACAATTCAAAGTTGTGGAGATGACATGCTCAGTCCCAAAATCATTTGCTCTAACTAACCACTGTGGTTTTGTTAAAAAAAAAAAAAAATCAAAGTTTTCTCAGCTGAGTGCAAGGATTAGCATCAGGCAACAATTAAACAACCTCAATTGTTGTCATTCTCATGCGCCACTGGTTATAGTCCTACTGTAATAATATGTTTGCTGCTGTGATGTTATTCACATGAATATTATCAAATGCCTTCAAGCTATTTAATGAAACTCAAATTTGTTGATTTCCTTCAATATGCCTTTTAAAATGGAGTACAGCCACACTGCAGTACACATGTCTCTAATGCTCTTTAAATGGGCAGGTACCCTTGAGCACAATGACTATGATAATAAATGCCTCGCTCAGAAATTGAATTTTTTTGAATTTTCGCATGATTGAGAAGGTCATTCAGCAAAAAAATAACTGGAGGGAATTTACTCACACAAAAGAGTCGGACGGCGGCGTCCATTCAACACTCGGAAAACGAGAGGGGCTGTCACAGGCGTGGATTATTTATTCTATTTGACTAATCACGGCCAAGCTCATACATCCCTGTGGGGCTGCAGATTTTGAGCAATGGCTGCGCGCCACCATCGGGCCGCTGTCGTTTACCAGCCTGCTGCTTTTTGCCGAGCGACGCTCGCCTGAGAAATGTTCCCCACTGTTTACCAAAGGTAACACTCAGTTCAGCCATAATGAGATACACTCTACACAGAGAGGCTTTACTCTCCACCCCCCCATGGCGAATCACTGCTCAGTCCCTTTCTCCGTGCGTCGTATACGAGACGTAAGCTCCTTAACCCCCGGAATACAGTTGTGTGAGACTCGGCGGGAGCGATTTTGCAGGGGCAGTGAGGTTGAGTCTGGCATATTTCACTGTGCTGGACTCGGCTGCCATCCCCCCGGATCGGGAGTGAGCGCGGGGGGGGGGAATGGAAATACAGTAGGAGAGCCCGCAGATTTTCTGCCCTTGCCACAACAGTGTGAGAAACAAAGAAAGGAACTTAAGCTCTTTGCCAAAGTAGGTCAACCTAGAAATGATAGAAAAAGAAAAAGGAAGAAGCACAACTTTGCAGAAGTAGACTTTGCTTCTGTTACATGTGGCTGAAGTTGCTCCAGGGAAGCCAGAGGTGTCATGCATGGCCATTCTATTTTGGTTGATTGCAAGAGAGGACCGGACTTAAGGCACTGGGGGGGGGGGGGGGGGG